CCCCGTTTTGTGCTCTTGTAAATGATGCAGCTGCAAGCATGTCTGCGTGTTGCTAGGGCACATGTAAGAATCCTGAAGGCACTGTTTCAAATCTTTGACCACACTTTCAGAAGCAATACTTTCACACTGGGACCCAGTAAAAGTGTATACTCATGAATACCAGAAAGAATATCATAAAATAACACTTAACCTTCAAATGAATGATGCCTTCTGATGTTTCCTGTTCTACCCTTTTATTTTAAATGACAGGGTCCACTAATGGGTTATCCTCAGCGGTTTGAAAAATGATGTTCTAGAGACAGGCAAAGTGAAGTGCTTGGGTAGCACACTATGCAAACTTTCAACTTTGCAAAATAAGTTGAAGTTGTTTTCCTAAGTCATCATCTCTATTTTAACACCCCAACAACTGAATATGACTGTTGTTACTCTACATACTTATCAATACTTGATATTGTCAGACTGCTTAATTTCTGCCAATCTAGAGGCATAAAGCATGGTATTGGTTTTATTTTAGTCATGGAGCTGGGCTTCCTTCCAATTGTTTGCCACTCCTGGTTCTTCAGTGATGGCTTTCACGTCTCTTGCTTTATTTTCAAGTGGTCTGACATATCACTCATTTCTTATTTTGAGTACTAAATCTTTGTCATTAAGTATCTCAGCTATCTTATCCCACTTCATGGCTTGCCTTTTCACTTTTAAAAACTTTCAATGAACAGAATTTAGAAATTCCAATGTAATTAAATGCAATGATTTTTTGCCTTGTTAAAGATAGTCTTTGTCACCCTGAGTCAGAATTTTCTCCTAAACATTGTAAATCTTTGTCTTTTCCATTTAAATCTTTATTCCACCTAGAACTGATGTTTGTGTAAGGTGTGAGGTAGGGATCTGACTTCTACCATTTGCTCTCCCTCCTTCCTCACTATGCACACCGCCCCCTGTGCCACACATCTCATTTCTGTTTAGGCGTGGGTTTCGGGGCTTCTCTATGGATCTGCTGGGCAATGGGTCGACACCTGCATCAAAATTAGTGTCTCAGTTACAACAGCTTCATGGGGGTCTCCCCACATGGCAGAGAAGTTCCCTCTTTTATCTTCCACCTCTTCTGCCAGGAATTCTTCACTATTCTTCGTCTTTCCCTCTCCTCTATTTTAGAATCAGCATGTCAAATTCATCCAAAACTGTCTGGATTTTCATTGGAATTGCAATGGATCTATCTAGAGAACAGCTTGGGGAAGACGAAATTTTACTGGCCCTGAGTCTCCCACCTATAAGTCAATCTTTTCAATGTCCATTAATAAAGTTTTACAAATGCTTCCACATAAGTCTTACACATCTTCTGTTGTTTATTCCTAGGTCCCTTATCATTTTTATTCCTATTTTAAACGCTGTCTTCCGTATGTTTTCTAATTTTTGCTGGTATAGGAAAAAGCAAAAGATTTGTATATATTGACCTTAAGTCCAATATTCTTGTTAAGCCCTCTCGTTATTTCTGATAATTTACCTTTGGATTCCTTTGGATAGTCTCTGCAGACATGATACAGCATCGTTCTTCTTTCCTGGTTCTTACACGGTTTATTTCTCTTTCTTACCTTATTTCTGGTCACGGCCAGAAATTCCAGTGAAATGTAGAACAGACGCACCAACAGTGGTCACACACACACTAACACATATGCCTTATTACTGATCTTACTTTACTCTGTGTGTTTATTTTTTATTTTTCCAGCTTCCCTGAGATATAATGACACACAATGTTGTGGAAGTTTAAGGTATCCAGCGTGACCTAACACATGCATATATTGTAAAACGACTGCACGCACAGTAAGGTCAGTTAACACCTCCACCACCTCACAGTCCACGGGCAGACGCTTTAACCACTGAGAAAACTGGCGAGGGCGATCCTCTCTGTCTTAACCTCTATTTCACTTTCTACCTTTTTGTGCCCTTATGTATTTTGTGTATCTTGTAAATAGAAAAGAGACAGATTTTTAAAAAATTTAACCTGATAATCTTTACTGTCAAGTTTACTCTAACTTCATTGTGACGATATGTTTGGTCTGATTTCTACCATCTGTTTTTCCATTACTTTTCTTGTGTATATTTCTTTCTGTTTTGAGGGTTTTTTTATTAATTTTTTTTTCTTATTTACTTTGTACTGCCTGAGAAATTGCACAAGCTATTTCTGGTCTTTTAGTGTTTGCCTTTGGAATTTTACCATATATATATTTGCTCTAGACTAAATGTGTCCAAAATTCACGTGTTGAAACTTAATCCTCACTGTGACAGTGTTAGAAGGTGGGGCCTTTGGGAGGAGATTATGGCCTGAGGGCAGCGGCCTCATGAATGAAATTAGTGCCCTTATAAACTTCCTCCATATTAGGGCTCAACAAGAATGCAGCTGTCTATGAGCCAGGAAATGGAGCTTCATTGAACACTGAATCAGGCACCTGATCTTGGACTTCTAACCTCTGCAACTGTGAGAAATAAATTCTGTTGCTTATAAGCTACCAGTATATGGTATTCTGCAGTCTGAACTAAGTCAGTATTCAGTTTATCAAAGACCAAAAAAAAATCTACAGCTAAAAGGTATAATAGATATTAGGTATAACATCCCTCGTGAAAGATACAAAAATACAAATCATTGCTTTCCTGAAATACATGCTATTTTTGTATGTGTACAGTAGCCATCCTGCAAGACAGCCCCCCCCCCCC